CGATTGATGTTAGGCAACTTTGTCTTACTTCTGTCTTCAAATGAAACATTTCAGTGAGCCTTTTTATTGTGCTATGGATCTCCATACAGCTTGTAAAAATATTTGTGAGACGTCCTCCTCATTATGAATGGTAAGGATGGAAAGTAAGCTGTTTGCATTTTAGACGGAATCCTGAATTCTTATTTAAAAGAAAGAAGGTAGAGTTAATTAACTGACTATTTAAATCATGATATTGATTATTTTCTATTGATAATTTGTACGGACGCTAAAGTCGTCATGTAGTAAAACAACCGGTAGTTTCATTTTCAACCCTCAGAAAACAGATTAGCATATGGATGAGAGTAATGTTGAAAAGACAGTAATTGCTATAATAAATTCATATGATACTCAAGCTTTTCGGCACTGCAAAGTTGCATGACTAAAAACTGATATAAACATTTAGACAATTTTTGTAAAATAGTGGGACGCCATGACCTTGGTGTCTTCAAGGTTATTTTTGATAACAAATAATTGACAGAATATAAAATGAGAAAATACTAATAATAATGATAATAACTGAACCGAAAGATTGGCAACAAAAAACAAAGCTGATAAATCCAGGTTCATGTCAGAAATAATAATAACAATAACAATAATAATAATTTGCTTTATTCCAAAACAGTACTTATGATACAGAATGGAATTCTCAGCATTTCACTACTGTATTGCATCCTGTTAGTACATTAACCATAAATAAAATTCTACATAAATTAAGGGTAATCTCAGTTCGTTTTGACAAACAACATATTGGCATGTCGGTAGCAAAGCCAAAATTGAACAGAGTGTTTGATAGTGTTAGAAAAGTAGATGGTAGCATATTTACTGGTGTAAGCGGTATCAAAATGGTCGAGATATACAGAGTGTGAAAGAACGAACAAGAATGTTTTAAGTAGAGTTCGTAAGGAAGAAAGAAACAAAACAGCACATAACAGAAAACAAAGAGAGAAAAGGAAAAGAAGGAAAGAAAACGTTGTACCTATAAATGATGTGAGTTGGAAAGACGGGATCCATTTGTTCTACTGACTATTTAATAAGTTAAAGGTTTCACGCCTAATGCTTTCTTTATCGCACAGAACACGAGTCATGTAGGGCATGGTTGAGTTTTTGTACTTACTAGTGCGAGCGTATAGTTTTCTATATGAGCTTGTGGTTTTGCCTGATGAGATACAAGGGGGGAGTTGCGAATGAAGAGGGTGATGTGAGTTATATAGAATGGATTTAGCCCATTTATCACATGAGTCCAAGTGCCTGTCGACCAGAATATTAACAAGCTGGTTAAGTGGCACGTTGTTTACCCTGCTGACAACCTTTAACACCCTACTTAGTAAATCCCAGTTACTATTTCTTAACATGCACCTGAGATTGAGTAAGTTGTCAGATGTGTTGTGTTTTCGTAGATAGGTGCGAGAAGACTTTAATATGTGTTTTGCTATATATTTTTGGTAAAGCGCGAATAATTCAGTAATCACAGTTAAGTATCGGTGCACGCTTACGCGTTTCATACATTGCTTCGTCGTTTGTGAAAACTAAATCGAGTGTTTTGTCAAGTCGAGTAGGAAATTCGACTATGTTTGTATGACCAAGTGCTTCAAGGAAAGAGCAGTTCCAGGAATTGAAGTCACCAGTAATAACAGAGAGAGAGAGAGTTGTCGAAGTTGGCAGCAGCAAACATGGGGAATTCATCAGCAAAATTAGATAGATCAGATGATGAGCAACTAGGAGAAATGTACATGTTTGTAACAAATATATGTTTATACCAGGGAAGGTGTTTGGGACAACATTTGACAGCAATACAATCTATAGAGTAATTTAAGAATGAGAAACAAACATTATTTGAAATAGACCATTTGGAGTGAATAAAAGTTGCAACGCCACCACCATTTTTTCTTATTGCAACAGGGACGGTTTTGTCTAAATAATACGAAGTGCTTTAGTCAGATAAGGTTGTCATCATGAAGTTCATGTAACCAGGTTTATTGTGATGTGATTATAGCAGTATTATGATAAGTGTCAGTGGACATCAGAGATTGCAGGTACATTATCTTGTTAGGTAGAGAGCGGCAGTTTATGTTCATTATGACAGGAACCGTAGTTAAATGTATTGGTGTGCATTTGAGAGCTCTTTGACAACCAATACGATACTTCGCCTTTGAATTCTTGAGAATATGGAAGTGAATTAGTCTTAAATGATTGACAGAATTACGAGAGTAAATAATGCTGCTAGAATTCATATTTAGGTAATAAATGATGTACGTAAACAGTAGACTGGATGAAATATATGGGTAGTAGAATAGTATAATGGCTGGCCCAAAAATTTGAGTTGAATGAGTTTCTTATGAATCGTTGCATAACTTCAGCTTCTCAATGTTTACAACAGGGACTGGACTGATAGGTGGTTGCATTCCCGTTTTCCTGACAGGAGACAGTGCATTGTTTACATTGCGAAGTCCTCCAATACTTCACTCACTGTAACTTGTGTTCCTCAGGGAGATATCCTTTCTCTTTTTCTGTTTTCTTTCTTCTATCATGACTTGCCTCATTCTGACAAGGCCAATTTTGTTATGTATGCCGATGATCTGACTGTTCCTATGCCTGTTGCTTCTAAGACTGTTCCAAAATGAATGCCTTCTTCTCAGAAATCAGTCACTGCCCCACGTCAAATGTTCTTAAGCTCAATCCCTCCAAATGTCAGAGAAAGTTTATATTTGGCTTAGAAACAAGGATTGACTAAAGATAATATAAGGTGGAACATGAGAGTTAATTAATACATAATATTTTAATAGTGTGAAATATTCCCATATTATGAATTGAAGGTCAATCTGAACGAAGAATAATTTCAATAATTTCCCCGCTTGAGGTTCTTACAATTATAAAATATAATATTTATTGCTGTTACAATAATGGCCAGTTATGCGGCGGACACATTTTTTTAAACGTAGAATAACAGATTATTTATGAGGTGTCAAAACAAGATCGACTAAACCGGAACTTTGTACCCAAAAAGATCACGTCCAGACGTTGTTCTGACTGTGGCCAAACTTGGATTGACAATTCTTCTTCCCACCAAAAGTGCTTCTTCGCCTTAACCCTCTTGGATTTTCTTTCCTTCTTTGCTAATTATTACAATTATTATTGTTATTATTCGTCATAATTTATACCCTTCATTGTTGGCGGCCTGATTGAATCATTGGGCTACCGAAATTACTTTCCTCCAAAATGCTTAATTTCATCTGGATTTATCATTGTTTTAATCATCCAGTTATATCAAATGACCTACACATAAACTTGTGCGATGATTTAAATTGCTCCCAAGTAAATGCTGTACAATTCTTCAATGAAATGAAGATATACTTCAGATTATTACTTTACTTGTGAATCCTGTGTGAAGAAAAAAGTACTTTGGAACTGAATATGCTGAAAATTTTTGTACCGTATATTCGCATACTGTCTTAAATAAAGCTTTACCATTATTATTCATGTAAACATTCAATACTATCGAATTTTCTATTTATACTCTCCGGACTTATTGTTAGTGATATTATCTCTTTTCTCAATACATGCATCCACCTGTTTCATTTCACACATTCGTCATTTCATTATGATCTGATTGCAGTCTTACTATCTCTTCTTTAATACATACCACTTTATACTAGCCACTCACCTGACACCTTTTATAACCTTGAACTGACTTGTCAGTTTTTTCCTACCCCACACTCTACAAATCTATTATGACGATTAATCACCAGCATTGTCTTCTATTTTGCAATATTTTGTTTTTACGAGTTAATCACGGTTTGATACCAGTTAGAACACATTGAAAACCAGGAGTACTGGACAGCTGTTTCATCCTAGTTAGGGAATCATCAGCAGTATGAACCCAGTGGGATTCGAACTCGTAAGAACAAAACTAGCCCTTACAAACCAAACTATAAACAATATTTTGTAACTGATTTCAGCCTACTAGCACGTTTGTCACACAAATACGACTATTTATTTTGACACCCCATAACTAATCTATTATTCTACATAAAATAGAATGTATCCGCCGTATAACTGACTATCACTATTGTAACGCCAATAATTCTTATATTTTATAATTGTAAGAACCTGAAGAGGGTAGATTATTGAAAAGAATAATCTTCGTTCAGATTGACTTTTCAATACATAATATGACGGAAATTTCTGCTATATAGGCAACAGAACAAAACTATTCTCATTTAATGAATTATTTATCTATAGGTTCTAATATATACTGGAAAGCGGTGGGTTACACAACCAAAACTACTGACAACTCATCAGGATCCTGGATACGATCTTCAGTTGACTTAGGGTTGCATAATGAGGAAAAGCCTAAAAATAAAATAAAAACAGCCCACTGTCCATTCTGATGAATTCTTAATGTCTTTCAATTTGAAACATTGACCAATAATGAAAGAATATTTTCCGCACTATACTAAAAAGTTATGGATTTCATGTCTGAGGATATCGATGATGTAACACGTGACAGTTGAATAGATCATCTAAACTGGTGCTTTCATCATCATCATATACATGATTTTGTATTATTTCATTGGTTGGTTTATCGCATTCTTTAACAGTCATCTACTTACAAAAAAAAAATATACTCAAAAATCGAAGTATCCTTCTTAGTTTTGAGTTCATTCACTTTCTAATACATGTTACAGTAGGGATAAATTTTTGTTCTGTTAACTGTGTGTGTGTATGTGTCTATACAACAGTCATGAGTAGTAGTAGTAGTATTCTTTTGAAGGTCACACAATTTCATTGGTAGATATACACTGTCATTTCTAAGTCTAAATAACCTTGACTGGTTGGATAGATGAAGGCGAAGATAAAAGACAATGTAAAATTGATTAGATCATACATAGGTAGGCATACCGTTAGATTTTTAATTTTCTAATTACAACATTTCCTAATTAATGCAGTAATGTGATACAGAAATGGTAAATAAGGAGAATTCATTATTTTCATTTTTACCAACTATCTGGAAATCTGGTAAGTTCCATAACTGAATTATGGTCGTTTTTTATTATTTATTTTATTGAATCCATCCGTCAATTTTGATTTTTTTGTTTCTAGTCTCTATCACATTAGTGAATACAGTGTGATAATAACTATAAATATAACACTTTTGTTTGATTTGATATGTATACCGACCAGTTTACAGTCAACTTTTTATTACGGGTTCTAGTCCTTCAACTGAAGTCAGAATATCACCATTTGGCTGAATATCGAAGAATGTGTGCGGTTCACAAGCTTACTTGTAGGATTTCTGAAGTCACTTGGTGTTTTAATCGTCTTACATCTTTCCACTCGTTACAAAAATAGTTTCCCTAGCAGGCAAATTAAGGCATTTTGAGCCAGAAAACCTTATTGTCAGTACTGAGTGATGTAGATTGTTGAAGACTTGTAACTGCAGGTTAACATAATTTTCAGTGTGCATTAAAACCAAGGTTCATTCACACCAATTACCACTGTAATAGTGAATATTTTTAGGTGCAAATATTGATTACCTGTCACGTATCTTTCCCTTGTTGAATAATAATAATAATAATAGAAAAAGCTTTATCCTCAAACCATGTTTATATAATGGGCAGCATTTTCAGCGGAGATTATTCCATGATATTTCCTCTTCGCCCAGGATTCTCAAATACAACATTAACTGGCATTAGATAGGGCAACACAATTCTATCTAACCTGAAGCGCAAATCAATACATTATGATATCTCTTCTTTGTCTCCTCGGAGAGAAACACGATATTCGGTTGAATGCAAATTATAAAAAGTGTAGGAGTACATTTTGTGAACCAAGGGCCTCTCATCAGATGCTTACAGCCTAAACAAATTATGAGGTCAATGTACAGAAAATTTATTAACATACTTGCAAATTTTCCTGATGTCAGTTGATAGAAGGCTCTGAAACTAGGGAACAGTTCTCAGAAAGTTGTGCTTATATGGTTTTTACACAGGTAGTTCACGTTTAAACAAAAATAAATATATGCATACAATGGTAAAGGAGTTACGTAATAAAGACGAGAGTTGCTTAAGATGCTGAGTAACTAATAAATTAGGTAACAATGTACTGAGTTCAACTCAAATCATAGAAACAAGAGACAAGCAAAATTACACTATATCAGACGGGGAGGGGTGAGGTTAAAACCAAAGATTAAGTAATCAAATGAAGGAGAGAATAAAGACATCCAGTTACCAAGGCAAAGAAGGACTAATAACTGCCTCTTCTTTCTGAACACATAAGTCTGGTTTCAAGCGTTTGATAGAAATTGCTTCGGCAAACTTGAGGAGAATTGATCTCCTTTGTCTATTGATAAATTCGAAGGATTTCGAGATTTCCACCTCATGACCCGTATCGACGAAATGTCTGGTAATAGCACTATTATAAGAATTTGTTCCCTTGAGACGTAGGCTTTTCGGCACATGTTCAGACAATCGGAGGCGTACCCTTCTTTCTGTTTTCCCAATGTAACTGCTCCCATAGATACAAATAAATATGTATACACTTTTGGAGTTAACATGAGTGACATGGGTATCTGTCACCTTTTGACTGCATCAAACAGCATATTGTTCGATGGACGGGAACCAACTTTGATTCAGGATAGGCTGTGGCTAGTGACGTACTCAGTCTTCTGTTGACCATCGCTGCAATGTTTTCACCTTTAAAATCTAGTTCAGTGAAGACAGGCTTTTTTCAACTGTGATTTGTTTGATATCTGAGCCTTCACATCTTCCATGTTTGTCAATGGCTCTTTGAGGATAACTGTTGTTTTTCAACACCTTTTCGAGAATCGTAAATTCTTCCTCTAGTTTCTCTGCACACCATATTGTCCTCGCTCTATAGTACGGAGTCTTGATTAGTGCTCGTTTATAGCTATTTGGACAAAACTATTAAAATGTAAGTGTTGTCCATTCCATGTCAGCCTTCAGTAAAATGACCTCTGGAGACTACCAACTTCTAGGCGTTGCGTGCCAATGTCGAGGAAGTGGAACTTTCCATCATTTTCATGTTCCATAGTAAGTTCAATATTTGTATGTGCATCGTTGAATAATCTGAGTAGGTAGGAAGCATGATTTTTATTATTGCACACTACAAATGTGTCATTGACATATCGACAATAGGAAGTTGTTTTATCGATTGAATGCTTCAACTTTGTTTTCTCAAGTTTGGACATGAAGATACCTGCTAAAACATGGCTAAGTGTACTACCCATAGCTAGACCATCTGTTTGTCGGTAAAGAGTGTTGTCAAACTGGAATTTTACATCCTTGGTACACATTAGCAGTAGGCGTTTGAATTCTGACTCTGGTAGTGGGAGAAGACCAGACTGTTGATAAATGATCTCAATGGTTTCATTGATTGTTATCATTGTGAACAAGGAGGTTGCATAAAATGACGCCATGAACTTATTTGAAACATTCATGTGATTCACACTTTCGGCGAAATAAAATGAGTCTTTTATGGTGTACATGGCTAGGTGTCGGCGAATCGGTTCCAACTTCTCCGCAAGCCAACAAGCAACCTTATGTTGAGGCGAGTGGATTTTCGAAAGTTTAGGTCTCAGAAGGATTTCTTTCTTGTGTGTCTTTAGAAGTCCAGACATATATGTCAAACGGCACCCTCGGGGTTTCAGTTCATTGTACGTGTTGTTGTTGTTGTCAGTAAATTTCTTCTTTAGAAGATCTCTTAGTACGTCTGTGATGCGTTTTTCAGCTGCATTTATCTTGTATTTCTGGCAGTCGTCGACTTTATTTAGGCTGTAAGCAGCACCTGATGAGAAGCCAACGAAATAAACCATGATGGTACCATACTAGTCTACACACACCACACTGTTGTTCTTGCTTTGTTCCAATTCATTAAGAGGAATAAATGCATGAACGGTTATCTCATGTATTGCAATAAGCCGCCATAGACGGTAATACTTTTTCTCATGTTAAGTGGAACCTTACGAATCAGCAGTTTGTAAATGTTTTAAACAATACTGTTAGATATAGTTCATACTTCAAGAGATTTAAACAAACTGAATAAAAGAAACGATGTGCATTGTATTGATGTGGATTTTTGGTGACCCAAGTTTCATGCAAGCCTCCGTATTTTGAACAAGGCAATATAAATATATATTCAACAGGATAAAAACAAGGATTCATTTCATTTTGTTGGCATCTCATCATCTGCTTACAACCTGAATAATGGTAGACAATCGTTTTATTACAATTTTAGCATACTTCACTGCATTTGGAAATAAAATGTCCAACAATAAGAATGATCATGGAAGAAGTTAGATGAATAAAAATGTCAGTAAAAGTATTCTCGTGTTTATAGAATGAAGGCAAAAGCTATCGTCAGATGTTTTCGCGTATATCACAGTAAATACAACAGGAGATACTTTAGTTACGTAAAGAGTTGGTAAAAAAAACTTTTAAAATAGCCAAACGTAACATTTGAAATGATTGCAGCATTCCCCTCTAGGCCCGTAATATAAAGTCAGCGACTTGAGGAGATTCAAGTCGTAATTGACCTCCTCAGTTCTACCTATACAGTAAAACTATTTAATACATAAAGAAGGGGGTGATCATTAGCTGACATCAGAATGAGAACCACTGGAGAACCTGAGAGTACTGGAGAGCTGTTTCGTCCTGCCTTGGGATTCTTTAGAAGTATGCAACAGAGAAATAGTTAGATCTTTTGATGATCAACAAACAGAGATACGATATAATCTCTTTCTGCTAATAATCAAGAATCCATTCTCTGTCTCAATGTGATGATTACTCTGGTGTGGTCATTGTTCGTTGAGATAAGCCTACGGTATGAAGACTGGTGGATTTAACTGATTGCTTGAACCTTAGCAAGTGGAACAGGGTTCAAGTTTATGATGTAAGTCTAGCACCTAAGCCAGTGAGGCAAGAGTATGAGACGCAAATGTTTGGCAATTGGTCTGTGTGTCTATCATACATGCAGACTGATTGCCCACGTAATAACTGCATATAAATGAGATTAGGGATTTGGAATAAAGTCACATGAACGTTATTTAACAATGATAATAAATTACTTTTCACAAAAATATGAAATATATATATAATATATAATTCATAAATTATCATATTAAAACTTTTTATATGCATTAATCAAACAATGACTGTAATCAGAAAAACTGAAGTTTTTGCATTTACGTTTAATTTGTCTAGAAATGTGCTTAAGAGTTAAAGCAATTCAGTGTATTTAATTGTGTTACATAATCATGTTTGCATGTAGATTAAAGGAAGAGAAATGAGCTGTTTAAATAACTTTCTTCTATGTGATGTATGCTACTCACAAGAATTTAAAAGTAGTATCATATGTGGGTTATTTTGTTGGAATCTTAAACAGGAAATAGACTGACTAGATTGTAAATAAAATATAAGTTTCGGTGTGATGTTGCTGTCTTCTGACTTATGAGTTCTTCATTCACCAATGCTCTAAGTCTGTCGACCAAATGAGATTACTTAATCGAATGATGATATGAAACCAACCACTGTTTATTGCCAAGCACTTTAATTTGATATTGAACGCAAACAGAAGTCATTCGGCAGGAGGGATTGATCCTAGATTCCTATAACTTTATGACCTAACTGTACCCCACTACCTTAACGGTCTCAAAAAAACACTACTGGATATCATAAACGGCTTTCCGAACCTTTGTCGCAATATCCTCATCGCGTCAGAGTACCCTTCGTTTGAAGGCATAAACTTACAGCACTGTATAGCTTTTGAAGCAACTCCAGTGCAATTCTTCAACAAATACATCAACTTCATTTCATCAGTTATTATAAAACAGCTCAGCATGACTTCAAACTCTTTGAAAAACTGTGGATAGTCGGCTGGATTTCCGTCAAAATACCGAGGCTAAAATGTCGGCAACTTGACCCCCCTACTATTCTTAGACGGCGAAGCATGAGCATCAATCTTATGATGCCGAGCATCAAACACATCATTACAAACAGCAG